AGAATTCCCCAGCCTGCTGGCTGGGGAATTCTGGGAGTTGAAGTCCACACATCGTCAAGCTGCCAGGGTTGAGAAACACTGACCTGGAGATTCTGTCAGCTTAAAAGCTTAGGGCATAAGAACCCAGCAGAGATGAGGACATCAGGTGTGGTGGTCTAGTAGTCTCATGTGGAGGACTATAACTTGAAATCCAGAATTGGGGCCAGCTGTGCTTTCCTGAGCAAGGTATTCTAGAATAATAATACTTGGGCAAATGAAAAATCTCAGCCCATTTCCTGGGCTGTAGTTCATCCAGTTCTTAACTCAGGCAGGAACACGGAAAGAATCTGCTGATGCCTAAATGTCCTGGCGGTCATCCGTCTGCTAAGTACTCACAATGTGGTCTTCTTAAAAAGGCAGATCTCTTAGGCCCCCATTTCTCAGACCTTTGGTAATCCTATTTCTTGCAGGAGATACAAATAAGGGACTGTTTAAAGCAGTGCTTCCCAAACTTTTTCCTTCGTTACCCAAAACTGTCGTAACTGTGAACGGTCGCTGAGCAAATGGTTGTAACTCGAGGACTACCTTATTATAAAAACAATATTACTGAATGATCTTTATGTCATTTCAGCAAATTACCATTGGTAATCTCATTGATTTTCGTCTTAATAGGAATGCTTTGGGAGATTTTTGAATATATTTTAGTACACGTGGCAACCTTCAAGTCAGTTAAAATGCCCTTGTGATGGGTAATGGGTTTGTACCCAAAATAAAACCACTTTTATCCAATTCTGGGTAATTTACTCAGGTTTGGGAAGGACCAATTTAAAGTCGTCTTCTTCCCTCCCTACAGGTGTTTAAAGAAGATTTGAAATTGCTCAGGTATGTCTCCTTTTCGGACAACTTTCATGGCAGCTGATAACCGTTTGACCCACCATGGTTTGTTTTATAACAGGCTTCAGGTGACAATCTGCCAAGCTCGGGTTCCCCTGAATTGTGTTCTTCGTGCCACTGATCCTTTGTGTGGGTGTATTTCCATCTTAGAAACAATGGGCATTTTAAAACAAGGAGTCCCATCCTGGTCTAACCACACTTCCTTTGCGTTCGGAGGATGGTGACATAACCGACAAAATCCACCTGCATTGTCTGGGTGTGATTGCTTGTTCTAATCCACAAGCAAAACACTATGTTTGCGGCCTGTGGCGTTTTTTGGAGTTTTGCTGCTTGGCCATCTTACGTAAAGGCAGAGGCGGGGAAGCCTGTTCTGAACCTTTGGCTCATCCGATTCTCACTGGGCGCAGGGATGTATCACAGGAGAAGAGAACCAGAGATCTACTCTGAAAAATTGGCTGAGTTTGGAAAATGTGACCGTCGGCCTCTCTTCCCTACCATTAACTACTTTTCCAGATTCCCTGACGACCTTTTTTTTTTTAACTTCGTTTGTCTCTGTGTTCCCTTTCTCCTTTTCTCTCCCACGCTAAACTGTTGTGTGCTGTTTTCACTTAGCTGAACCACCGTTTCTCTTTCCTATGACTAACCTACCCATAAAAATTAGACAGTTGGTATAAGGGAAGCCAATCCTGATGGTGACATTTGTAAATTGGGGGCTCCTTGCTTTTTTAAAAATGAAGTTGGTACCCAGGTCAGATGGAAAAAACCAACTTCAGAACTAACTTCCTTCCTTCCTTCCTTCCTCCCTTCCTCCCTCCCTCCCTCCTTCCTTCCTTCCTTCCTCTTTATCTAGTAGAAACGGAGTGGTCTTTCAAAGACAAAGTGGTCTCAATGTGGCTATTTGAGAAGGAAAGAACCTATTGGGTCCCGCTTGCCTTTCTCTTAATTGATCCTTCCCTCCTTTTCAGGATACCGGAGGAGTTCATTGCTGATTTTGCAACAGTGGTCTTTGGGAGCAGGTTAGTCGGTTGGTCCACTGCATTCTCTGTCTTTGGGCTTGCCTTGTTTCCAGGATCGTATTTCATTCTGCAGTAAAACATCTCAAGGAAGCAGTAGGAAAAAAAGGAAATTTAAGCTACCAAGCCTTTGGGAGGTACCACCCAAGCCAATTCTGTACCTTTTTATACTCTCTGGGTGTAAGCCAGCAATGAGTCGAGTATGAACAAGAATGAATTGGAGCTTCCCGTGGTTCAATGTCCCCATCCTGGATTTAGTGGCATCATTAAATGTCACCATCTTGGCCTTAGCAACGCTGATCCAAGATCTCCATTGGTAGGCACAATGATACCAAATTCTTGGGGAGAAAGGCCCAAACCTCCTTGTCTCAGCAGTATCCTCACTGAGAAGAAGAAAAGGAGCTGTTCCAGCTCAAAGGGGCTGGAAGCAATCACACGGAGATAGGGAAGGCAGCGTTTCAAGAAGGACCTCCATGGGTTGACTGGAGGTAGGGAAGGCAATGTTTCAAGAAGGACCTCCATAGGTTGACCAAGATAGGGAAGACAACGTTTCAAGAAGGACTTCCATGGGTTGACTGGAGGTAGGGAAGGCAGTGTTTCAAGAAGGACCTCCATGGGTTGACTGGAGATAGGGAAGGCAATGTTTCAAGAAGGACCTGCATGACCATCAGGCTTCCCAGGCCAGTTTGGGTCAACAGGGAACTGCCTCTGTTTCTTGCCCTCTTGTTCTACAAAAAGCATTCTTCCCTTTTGCATCATCTGGAAAAGATCTTAAACTGTGGGGGATGATGTAACCCTGAATCGGGAATAAATACCACCAGTCTTTTCTAGCGACCCTGCCCCTTTTCCACCTAGGTGGAGAATTTTAAGGACAGCCGGTGCCTTTATTGCTCTTAGACAGTGTCAATTTTCAAAGGTAGTTTAGGGGAAAACAAAGCAGTTTTAACTGTTCCAGGTTTGCAGTGTGGAAGAAATAAAAGTTTGAGACCCTTCCCTGCTCCAGTTGAGGTACATGCACAGGACCTTTGAAAAACAAGAGAATGGGGTTTTGGGATTCACATATTATTAAAACAGCTTCTGAGATGTTCTTTGCAGCCAGATGTTATGATGCTCCATATAGTAAGTTTGCATAGTTTTCAATATGCAGAAGCTGTGGGGTTACACCCTTGTTTCAGGACTGGACAAATGAGTCTCTCTAAACTCTTGTTTTCTCAAAGTCACACCCAGTTCAGCCAGCCAATTTCTTGACTTCCGGCTTTTTAAGAAAGGAAAAGGAAAAACATCTGGGGTGTAGCTGGGCCAACCGAGGTGTTCTCAGACAAACCGAACCTAATTACTCTTTTTATAGAAGCAAAATTAAGTACAGTAGCATGGTTAGACATCAGATGCAGCCAACGTATCCCAGAATATGCATTTTCAAGTTAGTATATCACAGCTTTAAAAAAAAAAAAACTGCCATGGGCCAGCTTTGCTGAGAGTGTCCAAACATAAGCATGTGCTCAATAATTAAAAGAATGTCCTTTCCCTTTGCCTTGTCCCCTGGACGAATAACCCTTTGCCCAACCTGCTGCCTTTTAAGAATCGTTCTTTTACCTTTAGGGTAATATTATCCTGTCATCTTTCTTACAGGCGCCCCCTCCTTGAAACTGCACTTCAGAAACAGGGGAACAGGCTTCCAAGAATTGAAGACTTCAAGTGGAGGGTTGACGTTGCCATTTCAACCAGGTAAAGAATTGCAGGCTGGGAATTCTGGCACATCTTCTGGTGGGGAGGTGGTTGAATCTCCTTGAGCTTCTAGACTAGTGTTTCTCAACCTTGGCAACTGTAAGTCGTGTGGAATTAAAGTCCACACGTCTTAAAGTTGCCAAGTTGAGAAACACTAGTCTAGACCATGGATGGTTGACAGGAGATCAGGTAGATCTCTGGATGATTTACAGCTGATCAACCAAGAGGCATTTTTCTTTTCTAAGAGCTGCTTGGGATTCCTGGCCTACTCCAATTCAGGTATTGAGTTGTATAAACAGGTTGTCCCCGTTTATGATTCAGATGGAAGACATGGGGTAGCCCGTTCTGTCCCATTTCATTCTTCCCTCTAATTTACTGTTTCGCACTTGGCTTCTCCTGGCGATGAAAAGAAGTAGAAAGAGATTCAGCAGATTTGACGCAGCCTGCGTCTGTCCTCACATACCTTCTCTCAGAGTATGAATGTGTTTGATTTCAGCTCCCTGGCCCGTGCTTTGCAGCCATCCATTTTAATGCAGCTGAAGCTCTCGGATGGATCTGCTCATCGTTTTGAAGTAAGTCTTGCTCACATGTTAGCTAAAGTTTATTATGGTTAATAGACCAGCACCATCACATGAGGAAACATACCCCAAAGGAGTATGTACGTTTAGAATATAAAACATCAGAAGAGTAGAAAGAGTAAAAAATCACAGATAAATGTTCTCTGGTGGGTTAGTTCATCAGAAGACTGGACTTCAACCTTTGGATGAAATTGGAACACTTTTGTTAAGAATCTTAAAGGTTCAGATTATTTTCATTCAAACCTATACACTGCTGCCTTCATCAAGAATCAGTACAGATTAATGGGGTTGGTAAGAAAGCTCCCACCGTGCTTTGCAGATCATTTCTCCTGTTCCGACATCATGTTAACCTCTGTTCAATTTAACTGGGTTTTGTTGAATAAACAGATTGTCAGGATCAAACCTCACACTAAGCCAAAATCAGAGGAACCACATTCTTGCTGAGTGTGTGATATAGGCTTACATAGTCATCCATGGTTTGTATTATAGTACTCAACCAGTGGTGACTAAGTCAACAAACCAAATTAAGAAAGCCACACCTTGATTCTGTATCTGAATCCAGTCATACAGTTGGATCAGTGGTAGCCAGATTTCTCTTCTAGAGGTTTTACAACTGAAAAGAAAAAGTGTATTTCTGCTGCCCAGCTATAACTCACAGCCTGATTGGTGGCATCAGATTTCGTTCAGCCTTCATTTGTAAACAGCTAACCTGATTTCCCTTCCTGACCTAATATAGGCACCCAAATACAGGGTTGAGGGAGGGGGGTTGGCAACGTTTCTTTGAATTTTGCCACAGCTGCTTCAGCTCAAAATGCCCCCAAGAATCTGTATTTTATGTGTGCGATTCTCAGTTATCTCAGAATCAGATGCACAAAGGTACATTTTGTGGAGGGAAAAAGTCTTTTTAAAAAAATAACGTGTCGTTTCATGAGATTGGTTAAAACATTTTTTAATTTAATTAGGAAACATGCATGTGACCTTCTTCCCTAGAGAGTTTGGGGAGCAATGCTGTTTGTTGTTGTTTTTCTAATATGTTTTCAGTGTTTACATTTTTACTGTGGACACTTTGTGTATGTCTATACAGTATCTGTGAAATGCTGAGAGTGCTTCACTGGACTTCAACAGGATATATATGTAATAATAAATAGATAAATGTGGGCTAGAAAGATACCGATTCGACTTTCTAAAGTTTGGATTTTCTTTTATATGCCAGGTCCCAGTTGCAAAATTCCAAGAATTAAGATACAACATCGCTCTCATCTTAAAAGAGATGAATGACATAGAGAAAAGAAGCATTCTGAAGATACAGGACTGAACATTTTTTTAAAAACTATCAGGTTTTCAACACAGGAAGAATTACACTCAGATGTGCAGAAAACACAAGGACACCTTTTTGTGATTACATGTGTTGTTATACAACCTTACAGAAGCTGGTTGTACCTTTTTTTAATTTTATTTTCTGGGTCAAAAACTGTTTGTTAGAATGTTTTTGCGTGATTTTTTTTTGAACTCTGAATTCTGCCTATAAATGTTAATAGCAGAATTCCTATTGACTTAACCCCCTTTTGTATGATTCATCCAAACATTTTAAAAATAACTACCCTAATGGACACAGAGCCTTTTCAAATGAACTATGATTCATCTTCCTGGTTTATTTCAGACAGTCTGATCTGCTTTCTATCGGTATGCACCAAAGGGGCTTCAGCTTTTTTGGAGGATTAAAAGTCTCAAGTTAAAAATCAGCAAAATCCACGATGGAATTCAATTTAGTCCCCCATCCCCCAAAATAACCTGGTTTGGTATTACATGTTCTTCATGTTTGAAATCACACTAAGGAAGAGCTTGCTATATTGAAAAACAAGACAAGATCCCCAAGTCATTGCACTTCTGGATTGCTTGACTGTTTGCTTTGGGGTTGAAAAATCCTCCCCTCTCGTGCTTTGGGGGAGGGCGTTAGACTACACTTGTCAGAATTTTGGGAAATGCTGGGACTTGTAGTCCAAAGTCTCTGAAGGGCACCTTCAAAAAGCATGGTCTGGGCCTTAATTGTCTTGATGTACCACATCCAGGCACCTGCAAACTACATACAGCATTACATATTGCCAACAGTGCCATGCTTTAAAGCAGGGGGTCGCCAGCCCTCCAGTGTTCATTTATCGGCAGGGCCAATGTTGGGGGGCTATAGTGTGTGCTTTTTCATTTGGGTGGCTTTCAAGGAAAAACGGGTGCCTTAATCTGGCAGATGTTTAAGACCCCCACAGTGCTTCTTAAAATCTCCCTCAAGCTGCTTAAAACCTTAATAAAATGTAGGTTCTCCCACTCTAATGTTACCCCCCCATCAGTGATGTTCCCAGTGACTTCCAGCCACGATGCAATGAGAAAATGCTGAAGGGTTGCCCACTCCTGTTTTAAAGAAAAGCTGGAGGGGCCCCCACCTGGGGGTAATCTTTTATTATTATATTTATTGAAAAATTTCATTTAATAAAAACAAACCAAAAGGAAAAAAAGACAGAAAAGTGTAAGAAAAGAAAAAATGAAGGTTAAGAAAAACAGATGACTTCTGACCTCCTTTTCCACAGATAATTACATTATTGTCCTTCCTCACTCTTAAGTATTTTACAAGTCTCTTCACCCCTTCATTTAGTCCCCATCTTTCTTAGTCTTCAAATCCAAAAATTATCATTTTTTTCCTTTTTCCTTCAGCAAAAAGTCCATAGAAGGCTTCCAGTCTTTCAAAAAGGTTTTTGTTGTTTGTTCTCTGACCAAACGGGTCAGTTTTGCCATTTCTGCAAATTCCAACATTTTCACCATCTGTTCCTCCACTCTGGGAATTTCATTGTTCTTCCATCGTTCTGCATACAGTAACCTTGCTTCAGTAAACATATACTGTATCGATTTACCATGAGCCTTTTCTAATTCATCATCCCTAAGTCCCAATAAGAAAAGTTCTGGTTTCTTAGCAATATTAATCCTTAAAATCCTTTGCATCATTCTATGAATTTGTACCCAGAATGTCTTAACTTTCCCACAAGTCCACCAGGCATGATAAAATGTCCCCTCATGCTTTTCAAATTTCCAGCACTGGTTTGAAATACCTTTATACGTTTTGGATAACTTCTCACCTGGGGATAATCCTGAAGATTGCACATTCATGGAAGGAGAGGCTGTGCTGAGTCCGCCCCTCGCAGCGGACTTCGTCCAGGAGGGCTGAGGGTTCAATCAGGCCATCATCCTGTGCTCTAGTGTAATCTCTCTGGAATCAAGTTCTCTGCCCCAGGGTGCATACAGTTTTCAACCAGCCGTGGAAAGGTCTTTTTCCAGTGTAGGCTGATGGCAAAGGGGGAGAGAGAGAACAGGCAGCGCCTTGTAAGCCACGTGGTAGCTGGATGGGAGAGTTCACTCAGCTGTTCCATGAGATTCAAACATTGTTGAGTCTTTATTTTTAGCCCCGTTTGTCTGTCTGCTTTAATGTAACCTTGCTCCTTCCCTCCTCAGCTATTCTTTTCCATTGTGACCAAGATTAAGCAGTTGCCCATGACTTAACTATGGCTGGCCAAAGCAAATAAATTCATCCATGTTTCTTCCAGGTTGCATTTGGAAGGAAAGGGTTGTAGACTCCGAATGTCCTTGTTTTGATTCCTGGCATCGCCAGGTGAGAAGGAAGGATCCCCGTGTGAAACTCCCAAGAGGCCTTAGGGTTGGGTTGGGGCTTCATCCAGTGGCTGAGATGGCCCCTTGGGGTCCCGATCAAACAGCGTGATGCAGACCACATTTTGGGATGGGCAGAAGAATCTCTTGCAGAGCAAGGGTTGGAAAGCCAGTCGATCTAGACCGGCAGGGGCTGCCCCAAAACGTCCCACTGAGGACCCCCACTTCATGCCAGTCTCATGCCAGGGTTCCAACCCCCAAAAGACAGGGAGATGGGGGGTCCCAAAAATAATGCTAACGCGCCTAATTGATCAGCCCCTTAAAATCAGGATTTTGCAACTTCTCCCTTTCAGCAAGCCTCAGATCACTGTTGCATATTAGCAGATCTATAAATAAGCAATGATCGTCTTCCCCAGTTTGGCTGGGGATTCTGATGGTTGTAACCCGACACTTCAGGATGCTGCCACAAAGAATCTATGATAAGGTATGCAAAGTTTATTCCTTAGATTCGTAGGCCAACTTTCTTCAAAGAGCTTAGTATCAAATCAGATCTTTAGAACTGTCATAAAAGGGCTCAACAGACCCCTTTTGTATGTATGACACTTCCTCCTTCATCAGAACAACAATCCTATGAGGTGGACTGAATTTCATCAAACAATGCAGGAGACATCAGCAGGGACTTCTGACTGACTACACGAGCTGTCAGCTGGTGGAACAGGCTGGCACGTGAAGCGGTGAGTTTGTCTTTATTAGAAGTTTTTAATCTGGATGGTCACCTGTTAGAGATGCTTCAGTGGATTCTAGAGTGAGCGAGGGGTGGACTAGATTATGTCTAAGAACCCTTCCAGTTCAGCTTCCATGGCCATGGTGAGATTGGACCAGTCTCGTCAGTCCTAATCCACTGCCCCACTTATGGGCTCTCAAATTCCAAGGGGGTAGACAGCTTGGAGCCACAAGGCATTCACATCCTGCACATCCCTTGGCCATGTGATTTCTACATGCAAAAACTAGCATTTTGTCACAATCCTCTTCAAAATAAATGCAGAAAGCAAGTCCTCTTTGATTAACTGGCTGGAGAAAAATGCAAGAGGAAAAAATATTTGGCACTAGCTTATACCCTCTCTCAGACACGCACTTATGTTTTTGGAGGAAAAACAGAATTCTACCCTGAAAAAGCTTTGCATTTTTTCATCCACCTCTCCCCTGGGGGCTCTGACCTTCCCTTTGTTCCATCTGCAGCTCTTTATCCCCACTTTGTTAATGTTCCCTTAACTAGTGCTCCCACTGTGGGAAGGATTTGATCCTTCCATAGCCTTCTCCTCCCAAGATCTCCTGACCTTTGTTGAAAAAGGGGAACACCTTCTGAGCTGTTTGAGTGATGAATCAGAGCTGTGCACTCAAAAGAAAACCAGGCCAATTTTGATGCAAGTCACAATAAAGACCTTTAAGCACCAATGCACTGAAGCATAAATCAATGGGGCGGTTTATATTGGACTGTGCTGCTGACAGCCAAATTTACTGAGTAAAACCTCAGATCTTGGGGCCTCGATGGGGAGAAAGGCCATGATCATAAACATGCCAACTGCTCGGACATTTGGACAGAGGTGAATGGAAAGAATATTCAGGAAGATGGGCTTCCGGATTTCAGATTTTGGGGGTCTTGGGCAGGATGTTGGTGGGGGAGGGCTAGCCCAGGGCCTCTGAATATGGAGGATCAATTAAGCTAGTGTTCCTAACAAAAGTTGACTGCTTACTGGCTAAGCCATGCCCTGAGAACAGATTCAGCAAGATCATTTATATCAGTGTTTCTCAACCATGAAGTCCCAGAATTAGAAGGGTCTTGAAGGTCATCTGTTCCACCTCCTTTTCCAAAGCAAATCTTCCAAAACAGGTTCCAACTTTTCATTTTTCCTCCTCCTCCTCCCCCTCCCTTTCAACTTCTAGCATCCTGTTTTTGAGATCCTAAACAAGAGGACAGAGACAAACGCTCTCCTGATCTTGACCCACCACTCTGCAAAACTTTTTTTTTTGGTTCAAGAGCACTTTGTTCCAAACTATTTTCTTTGGCCCCTTCCTTTCTTGTAATATGCAGTGGGCAGGGACCCACATCTCTGCCTGAATACACAAGGTCAAAGTGCATGTTGACAAAACAGGACTATTTGTCTACAGGTCAGATTGATTGACCCATATGGGGACATCTGAAGAAGGGAACTGTAGCTCAGGAAAGCTTATGCCTTTAAAAAAATGTTAGTCTGAAAATGGGCTACGGGCTCCTGATTTTTGACTATCTGACTCTCCTACAATGACTCTGAGAGAAAGAACTTAGCCCCCCCCCCTTAAATTGTCATCTGATGTTAGTACCTACTTTATGCTTTCACACTAGTGTTTTTCAAACTTGGCAACTCTCAGATGTGAGGACTTCCAACTCCCAGAATGCCCCAGCCA